CTGCAGGCTCTCTCAACAATGGACTTTCAGTCTTGGTTTAGAAACCTCAAGGGATAAAGAGTCATAGAGTGTTCCTAGGTAAAATAGTTCTGTAATTTAGTTCAAGAGGTATCTAAATACTTTTGTTGAATTCAACATCATGTCACAAACAGGAAGACTTAGAGTATGGGTCTCATATGAAACACACAGGTAGGTTTGTATCACATAAAATGGAACTAGTAGTCCTGTACACAGTCTTCTGTGTCAAGACACGTGGACAATAAATGCAAGTGCACACATAAATATTTTATTCTTCTCTTGGAGGCAAACACTCAAGGAGACCACCTGTTTGCTAGTGAGGTTTTAAAAGCCTGAACCACATTTCCTGCTTTTAAGCAAACAGGTGAAAAAAAAAGACTGGAGACCTTTCAGATTGACGGCAACTCTAGAGACAGATACATGCTGCCACGTCCAAAACAAAGGAGCATCCAAGGTCTGCCAACATTTCCTGTTGGATAAAGGGGTAGGGAGTATTCCTAGAAAAAGCAACAACAGGTAAGCCTTCTCTTTTCAGTTTGTAAACTTGTGAACAAAGAAGGAGTAAAAACACACTATGGTAGATTACTAGTCTTCCAAGAAGGTTGCTCAGGTTTCTGAAGTAAAATTATTAATTATAATCATGATGATGATGAGTCATTATCAACAGTTTAAACTTTCATTAAGGTTTAATGAAAACTAAGCATCTGTGTTAGTTTTGTACTTAAAATATTTACTGTTCTGAGGGCTTCTTATTCTACAATGTGCTTCTTCTCTTCTGAAGTATGAAGCTGATATCTTACAAAGCAATTAGTTGTGCACTAATTAATTACAGTTTAAGCAATTCTTTCCGGAGAACTAATCCTGTCTTAAAAACTTACACAGGTGTAAGCATCTTTAATGGCAATTTAACATTCATCAGTCTCTTAATGGATTTCTCTTTCTAAGGGTCATTAGTACAGAACATTATTTATCCCACCATTTCATTAGAAAGGAAAGAAAGCAATTTTTATCTCATCTTTGAAAAATTTGCAGACAGGAACAACAAGAACCAAAACATTTTGTTCTCAAAATTATCATCATAAATCTGGTAGTGAACAGAGCAATTAATCTGCTTCTATGAATGATGAGTTAATACCATAGAAGGCATGTCTAGCTAGACAGGTATCTATATTTCCTATCTCATGTATTTTTTCAGTATGATAAACTGGTAAAAATATGAAATCATCCTGTTACCCTTTGTGATGAATTCTCTAAAAAAAACCCCAAAACCTTTAGAACAAGAAGGAACAAAACCTAGTACTTCTGCTACCTATTCTTATGTTGTTAGGAAGATAAACGTTTAATTTTATCCCTGAATGGTTACATCTGGCCCATTTCCCCAGAGATACATACATGATTATGTGCACTCCTTTGAGTTGCAGTAACAATGAATTGCAGAAATGCATCCAGGAAAGTTTATAATATTTTGGGGGCTTTTGGTTTGTAGGTTTGTTGTTGTTGTTGGTTGTTTTTTTGTTTGCTTCTTCCCACCACTATCCCCCAATTGCAGTATAATGAACACTACAAAGAGAACACCCAAGAGAACAAATGACCAAAAGTATATTTATTCCCATGTCTTGTCTTTGATGATGGAGAAAGCTGTCAACAGATTTATTTAACAAATTTAAAGGAGAAAAAGCACAATTAATTCTTTAGAAAAGTCTCTTTCTTGGCTGTATTTTGTTGTGTGAATATAGTACCTTTAGTTCATAGCATTGTAAAATATACTAAGAGGAGGCGAGTAATCCTATCCCTAAAGGCAGAAGAGTAAAAATTTTGTCCAGATGGGGTAAATTAGTTAAGGTAGATGTTCTACTTGGATGCAACTCAAAGTTTGACCCTGTTTTCAGATAGAAATGAAAGAATAACCGACTAGGGATGTATTGTTAATCACAGAATGATTTGGGCTGGAAGGGAGCTTTAAAGGTCATGTAGTCCAAACCCCCTGCAGGGAGCAGGGACATCTTCAACTAGATCAAGTTGCTCAGAGCCCAGTTCAACCTGACCTTGAATGTTTCCCAGGATGGGGCATCTACCGCTTCTCTGGGTAACCTGTGCCAGTGTTTCACCACCCTCATTTTAAAAAGAAGTCTGCCTTATATCTAGCCTAAATACCTTTTAGTTTAAAACTGTTGGAGGAGGAAGTAAAATTTTTGATGACAAGTATTATTTTTATGTTTCAGAGTCTGATTTAAATTGGAATTATTATCTTGAAAAGGGTAAAGGTTGGAAAAAAAAGTTGTTTCCCTTTCCAGTTTAAAGTTTAACTTCTACAGTATTTGAGCAATCTTACTTCTCTAGGACTTAAAAAATATTCTAGAAAAACAAACATCATGAAACTTAAAACATTGGTATATTTTATCAGAAATTCAAAGCTCACAATCTATAGGTCTTTATTAAACATGACTTAGAAAACTGCATGGGTGTGGGGAGATTAAGAAAACAACATTTAAATTTATTCCTAGCTAAGCACTACTTAGTTTATTTTAAAATTTATTTTTGACAACTCTGACTAAAACATCTGTTTATATTTTAGTACATTGTATACAAACATACATGTGTCATCAAAAATTTGACGTCCTCCTCCAATTAAAGGCTGAAAATATTCTAACTGAAACTAAGAGTAGTCATTCTGCTCTGGAAACACCAGGCAAAATTAGGATTCCTGAATCAGAAAGATAAATGACAGCATTCAGTATCAAGAAAAAGGTACACAGATCAGAAGTGTGCTTAGGTAACTTCTCACTGTTTTTATTCTAGTGAATCACAGGACTGAATTTTGTATCACAGTTACATGTGCTTCCCTTCTCTTGGGCCACAATACTGCTTCTGCTCCCTGGGGAAGAAAAAAAAAAGTTTATAGAAAAAGGAATATGAAAACAATATTGAAGTATTAATATTGAAAAAAATAACTTCAGAAAAAAGGACAAGAAAAGAAGGAAGGAAGGATGACTCATGTTATTTAGGCACTACATTGAGACTTAAAAGTTCTTGCCTTTGAGCTAGACTCCTTGATGAATAGGTTGCATAGGATACAAATGCTGAATGACTAATTTTAGAGTAACTGTGTTCCAAACATTGCTGGTTTTTGATGTGGCTTGCTAACATCTTCTGAAGGCAGGATCTCCCTTTTAATTCCTTCTCTGAAAAATTGGAATAACATATAGATACCTCACGGTGCTGTCATGAATGTATCTTACTGCAAATATGTGCCTCTCCATGTGAAAAGTAGTATTGCAGGGATGGAGAACCTTCAAACACCTTTATGGGAACTCAAGTAGGAGAAAAGAAGGGACTGGAAGTTGGATGTTTATCTTAAAAAGAAGGATAAAATGGCCACTCGAAGTACCATGTGCAAAACTCAGTTACAAGTCTGTCAGAAAGTTACAGCTTATTGACTCCTCTATTCCTTTTAAAGAGTTCTGATCAGGAAGGCAACCTGCAGCGTAGAAGACCGTGCCATTTGTAATTTTTTACTACCAAGGATTATTTTATCTTGTTTGATTATCATAAAACCCTCTGTGGCTTGGAATAAAACAAAACTAAGCCAGCTTTTGCAACACCGCTATAATTAGGGAAGGAACCCCCTAAGGTTTGGTTCTCCACCCGTCGCTGATCAGCGGAGAAAGAGAGCTGTCTGCTCAGTCGGAGCCCATGCAGTGTCCTCTGCCACCTCCGCCGGCGGCACAGGGCTGTGCACCCCTGCACTCCACCTCAGCTTCCCCTCAGGAAGCCAGCAAAATCCCAGCCTCCCAAAGGAGGAATCCACCTGCATTGAAACCAAACGAGTGAGTGTATTAAGGACCTGGTCAAATCTCACTCTTGACTGTATCATCCAGTCTTTCCCCTTGATTGCTCTGCTCCAGCCAGGCTTTTTTTTTTGTACAGTATTAGTGGAGTTCATTAGTGTTTGGGACCCGGCTTTATTCAAACAATCCAAATCTAGAAGAACATGACACATGCCTCTGGGGAAAGTGGCAAATCTAGCTTTGAGCTCCTTTCACTCATGCATTTGGCTCAGCATTTCCTCTGTCAAGGAAGGGTTTCTCAGGCCATCTGCAGCAACGCCGATCATTTTGGCCATTTGACTGTTACAAATAGGCTATATTCTTTAGCATGGTTTGTGATGGAAATTTTGTATAAACTAGGTTAAACAAAGAATTAATTAAATGACAAAATACATTTGGTGCAAAGGGTTCCTTCTTATGTTTCTAACAGGACTCCAAGGAGAAGAAAGTTCAGGACAAAAAGAGGCTTTGTTCAATTAAAATGACCCACCTTTTACCACGTGATTCTTCAGGAGCTGTTCAGGTTTTTTCTCTGCAGTAGTCTGTGGGGGTTCACCAGTTCCCAACTACTGCTCATCCTTTACTGCTACACCCTCTCCTTTCTCAGGAAGGAGAGTGAGGATATGAGTACAAGTTACTGGACTTAATAGGAAATGCAAGAAAACACATAACTAACCTCTGACATTTATTGCAGGGATTGTTAAAACCTGATGGTCTGTTATTCAGAGACATTTCCAGTGAAGTAACTTGTTTTGACTGAATTAATCTTCAGAAATACGTTCATGAACTCTAGAATTTAGCCAAAATTTACAGCAAATAGTAAGTTAAAGACAACTGCAAAAATAATTTCAAAACGATTCACTAAAATGACCTTCTTCTTTAGCAATTTCTAATTTTTACTGCATCTTACAGGCAAACCAATATCCCAACCTTTAGCTGAATTCCTATAAAACTGTAGTTCTGCTAACTGTTTATTGATGTTGCTTTCGTATTATTTAGCGTCTGGTTTGGAGATAATTATTGAGCTTGTATTGTAATGACTGCCACAAAGAAAATAGCAGCTTCAAGTACAGGAAGCAAAAATCAACCAATCCCAAAGAATATAGTAAAACTGTTAAACAAGATGAACAATAAGGTGTTCTTTCCGTTACAGAAATGGACTGCCATTTTGCTGTCTGGGGCATTTTGGCTTTTCTGAGTTTGGCTCTGGTTGTTTCATTGATACTGAACATTTCACACTATATGAAAAAGAAGCAAGGTAAGTAATGTCTTTCTATAAGGAACGGAGTTGGAGTGTTTAAACTGTCTGTAGAAAAAGCCATCACTGCTGGGAGATTTCATGTCCACAGATTAATTCTTTGGAATCTTAAAGTTATCTTTTAGCAAGAATGATTCTAGTAGAGAGAATGTAACTTGAAAAAAAAATTTTAGGTGAGTCAGGTATGATTACAGAATGATTACTAGCTAGCTAATCCATTGCTAAAAAAAGCTACCCAAATCTATTCTCTGAAGACAAAACAACAGATCATGTAACAGGGTGAAGAATTTAGTTCTGGCTAAATTTTTATTTTTAAAGGATATTTTTATCATCTGTAATTGCCTTGTTTTAAGTATACTAATCATGTAACAGATTATTTGTACTTTAATAAAAAAACTATTTTAAGTAGCTGCACTGATACAAAATACATTTCAGAAAATGTTCTCAGCCCAAAATTCCTGGATTTTTATTTAAATTTTAGATTTCATGCACATTTTATGCTTAATCAGTTTATTTTGAAAATATTTCTAATTACTTTTCATTATGGGATCCTAATGTAGCTCTTAAACCAATGTGTCACTTACAATGACAAACTGAATTATTTCATTTATGTTACAGGGTAACTACAGTGATACTCCAGTTTTGGTTAAAATTAATGATTTTTTTAAACAGAATTGATTATGCCAGTGCAACCACTCTTGTGCATAGAATTCTATAGTTATTAAGTTGTACAATCCTCACCAGTCCCATTCAGGGAAAACTGCACCTGTGCTATATGTGTATGGGTGGGCAGGCAAACACTGGTGGGTTCAACGACGTTGATCACAACACATGCACACAAAATCTACATAAATTGAAGGCCTGTGTTTATAAATTGTACTCACCAAGTATAAAAGAATTAGATTATTACAGGATATTAACGGCGTGTTGTGGGATGGAGGTGCCTTTTCAGTTTATTCTTTTAGTGCTAGTAGGCAGATATTGCTATGACGAAAAATCAGTCATTTACAAAACTAACCTTAAGCAAGTTTTCAAGCAGATTGGCTGATGCTGCATTTCTCATAGAATCAGAGCTTACTGTGGTAAATTCTAAAGTTCTGGAGCAGAGGATGGAAATATCAGGCATTCCTGACTTACTTACCAAGCTTCAGCAATAAATCTCTTTGTACTCCTTGTCCGTGTGTTTCAGCTTCTTCACCAGTGTGGAGCACAGGATACGTCTCTTGTAGAGTTCAAGCAGGAGAACTAGTAAAAAAAAAACTCCATCTTTTTATTATAAACACATCCTGCACCTCCCTAGGTGGAGAAAAAGATGAGGTAGAAGCAGGAGGAGGAGAAAAGAAGGAATTAACCATGTGTTACAATACATTTTTGGGGTCTTGTAAGTTAACACAGACTTTGCAGCCACAGCACATGGTCATAACAGAAACAGTTAATGTATTAGAAGTATTTGAGAAGAACAGGGGGCACAACTGAAGGCCCTGAGAGCCAAGAGCTTTCAATTTTACTCTACAGTGAAGCCAAAAGCATGCCAGTTGAGACAATTATCTGAAGTGTTCTAAGCACGTTTCATTTTCTCTTAATTTTACTTTTTTTTTTTAACAATTTTTCCAGCTAAAATGTATAATGGTGATGAAGACAACAATCCAAGGTAAGCTGGATAAAAACGTTTCTTTCTGGCAACAGTGAAATAAGCAATAAATAATGACAGATGGCTTTGGAGGGATGGCATGGGGGAAAATAAAATTTCTTATGCAGCCGCCCTGGATATGTTGAAGAGTAGGATGGTTGTGGGAAAAAGGTTTTCCAAAGAAAACAGGAAAAAACATTCATGTGGGAGAGATGTACTCCTGTCATTTTGTCAACAAGGAAATAGTTACATGCTAATATGATAATTTTATATACTGAATAAGGTGCAAGGTATCAAGCTAAAACACCATTTACTATCACTCAAACTCAATAAATCTGTAATAATTTAAAAGAACTCTCAGAAAACAAAGATAAATTGTAATCTGATATTTAATACTTGTGGAGCAATAATTTACATGTATTTATGTTTCATACTCTTCCTTTATATATGATGCTCCAAAGCAGTAAAACAGTCTGTCTACAGCTGCTGGATATCTCATGATACCTCATGGAATGAGCCTGTTTCTCTTATTCCATACAAAAAAAAACCCTCCACACTTTAGAAAACAGAGATGGAAAGAGTCTCATTTCAACCCAAATATAAAAGGCCCTTGACAGAAAAATACAAAAGCCTTCATCTGTTCTTCAAAACCAATTCTCAGTTACAAATTTACTTGAAATTTGGAAGTCTCTCTTTGTCTGTTACTGCCTGGTCAGTTGAAAAATACCACCGAAGAAGTGGGGTTAGATTGCATTACTTCATTTCCTTGTTGAGCCACAGTATAGGGATGCAACAGGAACAAGGTTACATGGTGCTTCCCACTAACAATTCCCCTTTTACAAACATGCTAAAAAACATTTTCAGGCAACACCAGGTAAGGAAACACAGAATACCTTTAAAAATCCAAAGATGAATTTTGCTTTGGTCTTCTCTAGTTGAATGAAGGATGGACTTCTTATGAACACCACTCCAGAAGAGCCATTTAGTGCTTTAGTTTGTAGTGCAAAGGGGTCTCAGAGAACATGAACTGGGTCCATTTCAGTGATCATTAATATTCCTAGGACTCCATCTAGGAGTAGCTTAGAAGTCTTGAGATTACTTCACTCAGTTACAGGAAAGCAGAGCTCAGTTCTGGGCTAGATAATAAATCTACCTTCAGAACATGGACATTACGATTTTTGGCCCCTTCTGATATTTTTGTATGTGATCTGAAAAACAAGACCATCTGCTATTGCTATATGTGTGTAAAATGTTTAGAGTAGAATAGCTGGGTCCTAAATAAAGCATATTCTGTGAATTAAAATTGTTTTCCCGTTCCTTTTGTAGCTATGATTACTATTACACAGATGATGACCCAGTTTATGGTAATCTCAATCAAGATAATTCAGGTAAGCTTCACTTTAAGAACATGCGTCTGTTCAGAAGCTATATAATAAATGCATGGTTAAAAGCCAACTGACCAACACTTTCTGTGTTTCTCAGGCAGCAAACTTGAGAATCTACCCATTTTCAATTGCTGTATTAATACCTACTTGGGGTAGAACTGCAAATCATATGTGCTGTTATTTGTAAGGCCAGATCTCACACTAAATCTGACATTTTACAGTCCTAATGGTCCTGTTCAGCCAAATATCTCAAAGCTAAGAGCTCTGCTACATGTAAAGCTGCACCAATTGGAGTAACAGCTCGATCCATGCACATTAAAGCAATCTAAATGACACATTACTCACTGCCCAAAGTCAGTCCTCCCACAGAAAGCTGGCAGAAACACACATACCAGTTCACCCCTGTGGCTATCCACAGATCATCAGCAACCTTGGCAAATACACTGAAACAAACCCAGGGGCTGAATGGTGGGCAGACATAGCTTTTCTCTGCTTTACTGGGCTGAAGTTAATCATCCCTGGCAGAAAGATACCACATGAAAGACAGTAGAATCATATAACTGCAGCTAGAGCCAGATATGCAATGGCTACATCTCTTGAAGCTCTTATGGTGTTAAAGCAGTATTTAAAGAACATGAACACAACTATTTTTTGCTAACCTTATTTGGTTTTAAGCAAAACTAAACTGAAGTACTTGAACTGCAGGGGAAATAAAAAAAAAAAAATGAAACCACAACTTCTTCACACAGGGTTTGCATAGATTTAACTAAGCCAACACTCAAATGCGTTGACACTACAGAAGTCTGAAAACTGTAAAGAAGTAATTGGTTATACTGATGGCTAAAATGAGATACAGCATGTGGAAATAACTTGCACCAAATTTACAGAAAACTGAAAGTAGAGTCAGGAACAGAATTTAATCACCAACTGCTATAACTCACAGACTTTTTCTCAGACAAAAAAAAAAAGATAGCCTGTGCTGAAAAATACATCAGTATGTGGTTAGCCCCTAATTGCAAAATGTCCTCCCAGCAGTCTTAAAATCATGCCCACTTGGTGAATAATGAGAAACTCGCCAGCCATATGAACAGAAAATGATTTTTGTTTTCACAGTGTGTGTCTGAATTTCCTAGCTATTTGCCCTTCTATATATAGAGGGAGAGATCTGTGTGTGATTTCAAAACAAAACAAACTTCTAGCAATGTGTCTTAACTAAAAAAATTTTTCTACTTTGATAAATTATAGAGGAATGTTGTTACGAGCAGATGAAGTCCCAGCCTCAAAGGCCAGTTAACCAACTACAGGTATCTTTAATTTTAATTCTGTATTAGAGTAGTGTGGTCTGTCTCAGAGTTCTTGTGTTTATCCCATGACAATATAAAATTAAAATCTTCACACTGCTCATGACAAAAATTACCATGTGTTAAATGTCTCAGCTCATCAGGGAATCTAAGCACAGACTTGACCCTTCATTCAATCTGGGTCATTAATCAGGGAGCAGGAGAATTATAGACAGCTCATTTCCATCCATACAGCATGAAAATGCTGAGTCACAGGCGTCCAGGTCAGGCTGAATTAAGCCTGCATCTACTGCTATGGCTTGTGCAAAGACTTAATTTTATTTATTTTGGTGATCAATCAAGTGAAAACACAAGCTGTATCACATGATAATAATGAGTTTGACTGGGTCTCTCCTGCCCAGCACAAAATCTATACGCCTTAACAAATTGAAGAAGACTGTTTTTCAGTTGATTTGTATTTTGCCAAGATACTTGGATGTCTAAATCTTGCTTCAACTGAAATTTGCCTGTAATTTATGCATTCCCATCATCCATCTCTTAAGCTGATATCCAGGTATTTCTTAAGGACCAATTTCCAGCCTCTCTCCCAGGATACTTCCAGGAGGTGAAAATAACACTTTTTTTATCTAGACATTTGTTTTCATTAACTTCACAGAAACAGATTAATCTATGAAAATCCCGGTGTTAAAAGTGCTTGACAATTTAACTTGAAAAACATGGAGAGAAGCAGGGGAAAGACACACAAAGCATACATTTGCACTGGAAATGAGATCGTATACACAGACGAGAACCACCCATCTTTGGTTTCCTACACAGACAAAGCCTGTAAAAAAATGTTGCTAATAGGTGGATTCTACTTTAAAAAAAAAAAAAGTGAAAAGAAAAACAGATCAAATAATTTATTGTATCTCAAAGTACTTGGACTGATTATATAAGCTATCCTCATTCCCCTAGAGAAACTTTCCAATAATACTTTGATAATTTTTTCCTTACTGTCACTAAGAAGATGAGTCATTTACCGTTAGGTTATGTTGGTCTGTTTTCTGTGCTGCCACAGCCTCATCATTTCTACTTTGAATGAGTTAATTTACAACTATTTTGGGTAAATCTCAGCCACTATTATGATTACAGTGTAGACAAAGTCTTAGACATGATTTTAAAGCAAATATAATTATGGGATGTTAAATATAAAGTGACTTTCCTTCTAGGTGGAGTCTGCCAATCAGATGTGTTATGCCTCTCTTGATCACAGTGTCAAGGGAAAACTCAGAAAACCAAGGAGGAAGAAAGAGCCTTCATCAGAGAAGGATGAAAAACAAAGATCATATAACCCCACCATGATGCCTTCCAAAGCTAGCATTTACCTCAATAGTGAGCAGCTGGCTGCTGAAAACACAGCAAATGAAGAAGCCATTCATGATGATCCCATCAGATTAATGGGTTTGGTTCATACTACAAAAGGCTAGAACGTTCGAAGCAGCTTCATGAACTAAATACATAATCATAAACTGAGATTTACTTATTCATTCTGGATGAACTGTGAATTATTAGATACAACATCCTGGCAAACTGACATGCAAACAATAGTATAAAATAGGTAAGTTAAGTGTTCCAAAGCGTCTTCCAAGCATATTTACAGACTAAGCAAGAGATAAGTATAGATCCAGGTTGCTACATTGAAGGACCTTCTGAAGACATTTTGAAAAGGAGCCTTAGAAGCTGGTACCTCATCATTCACGTTGTATTGATTCCAGCAAAAATTAATCCGTTGTTTAGAACAATTGTCAACTTTTTAACAGTCCCAAAAGACCTACTCTGTAGAGCTCTAGCAGATTATAACTATTTTATATATAGATTTCAACAACAGTTTTTGAAGGAAATTGTGTTTCATAGTTGCATACTTAAAGATTTAGTTGTTTTCCCAGTTAAAAACTGATCTGGTGTTCAACATTGTGTACTTTCCCACTGTGACTGGTCTATGGTAGTAACAGATTATATCTAAAGCCAATTGGAGAATAATTTAACAGCTTGTTTAAAGTAGTAATTGTAATTCTTGCAAAATTTAACAATATCCTTATGTATATTTAGTTTTCTTCTGTGAGCAATATCAGAATATATCTCAAAACTCAACTCTTCTGCTAATGTAATGTTGTATCCAGACATACCCAAAAGTTCACAAAGATATTAGCAAACGATCTGTAACAGTCTCCTGGGGAGGATTTTCTCCTTCTAATATTCTATGTGATGCTTAAATTCCCATTGGGTTTTACATTAGCAGTGTTACCAACTATTTTACAAAATAGAAAGAGCTTATTTCCCCAAATATACTGTGTGCTCGTTCATCATAAGATTTTAAACTCATCAGATGGTAAGGTGTCAGGGTGAGGATTTATTTTTACATTTTTGGTGTCATTAAGTAGTAGCAGCAGGAAACAGTAAGGCATGCTGCAATGTGCCTACCTCTAGATGTCAGACAGATCTGCCTTCTCAAACAAAAGGATATTGGTGCCTTTAAAATCCAGAGCACAGTGCCCAGGAGCTTGAAACTCTCACGTACAGAGTTCTGCAAGTGTTTCAGGTCCTGAAGAAGACAGTCCTGAAGGTAGCTACAAGAAACCAACCAAACAAAAAGACTGTAACACAAGGAGCCAACACCTCCTCTAAAAGCAGTGGATGGACACATCCACAGATGGGACAAATTTATAAAGAAAAAAAAAAATCAACGTAAAAGAAACAGTTGACAGCCTGGTTCACGTTTAGTTTAGCTCACAGTCAGTGAGCCTCTTTAACATGCCTTAACTTCTACGCTAGACCTAAAGGATGGGGGCAACCCCTGCAGGCAAAGCTGCCCAGTGGCACTGCCTGCCTTGTGCTAGCACTTGCTTTCGTGTGCAGAGATTAAGTCAGTATGTTTGACCGTTAAACCACAGTAGCCAGGCACACTTAGAACTAAAGTGACTTTTATCATGTATCTTAGACCAACCACCATTGGCTAAGCAAAAATAAATACTGTTGACAAATAGATAAAGACCAGTTTAATGGAGAATCATATTAAACTATGACCCTGACTAGGATCCTAAGCGGGGAAAGGAAGAAGACATGGAAAGCCAAGGATCCAAAGCTAAACACCAACATACCAGTGCATGAAGCACTAACTTAATTTGATTAGATTGGAAGGAATCATACTTTGTTCCACAGTAGGAGCAAAGTCTGTATTAAAACACTTATCAACATGCTCCTGCTTAGACTCAGATTTATTTGAATAGCATTAATACATAAAATATTTCAGTTTAGGAGGCACCAATCAGATACAATACTCGGTCCTCTAAGATGATTAAAAGAGAAAGCTTTCTTAAACTCTCTCTCAGACAAATAAGCACAGGCCCAAGGGTCTATTTGTTACTATTTTCCGACATACATATGAAACAAGAGATTTTTTTTTTTCTTTTCACCTAATACAATTTGTGTTACACTTTGTACAAAAGCTGGCATTTTCCAAATCTCTCACAGCATTTGCTGTCCCAATTATGCCTTTCCTCTAAAAATTCCAAAGTCAAAAGTTCTTTGAATTACTTAAATTCAACCTGTCATTTGAACCCAATCATTAATTCAATGGAAATGAAGTACACACTTCTCTCATTGAGTGTACACGTAACAGTAAGTCCACTTTATGGGATTTAGGTACATCTGGTCTCTTCTTGTATTTTTAGTCTTCACTGTTTAGTTCAGTTATTTATGTCAATTTTCAGCAGGTGCTATCCCTTTCAACATAGCTTGCTAAAAGAGCAGGGCACTTTTGTAAATATACTTCAACACAGACATCCTGTTCACATTCAGTCACAGCTTCCATTAAATTCTTCTTTGCTGCTCTCAGAGTCCACTTGAGGACCATCTTTAATGGCCTACCAGCTGTTTCCAATGCACTTGTAAAGCTGCCACAGTCTAGATTTAGCTTTATTCCTCCATCTCCTCATCCTCTGTCTGCTTAAATAAGCAACTGAATGACCTTTATTTTTTAAAAAATTACTTTTTTTGGATAATTTTCAAATGACTACTGAGTTCCTGTATGAAAGACCATGCTCAATATTGCTCCATCTTCAAGCCAATAGAGAAGGACCTACATAAACTACCACATTAGTTAAATTCTTTCTGTATACATAAAGTTTCAACTAATTACAACAAAATAAGAAAAGGAGACGCTAGGTCTAATTTTATGCTGTTTCAGTAACACAGCCTGATTTGTCTTTTGTTTTGTTTCTTTCTTTACAAAAACTTCACAAAAGTTCTTCACATGAATTTTGAAGCAGAGGGAAGCAGTGTGAAGTGTTTTTACTAACAATAAGCTCAACATCCAAGTACCTGTCCAATGGAACAGTGAAGAAAAACTAAAAAGGAAATATGATGGAAGAAGCAAAACTGTTTGGAGGGAAAGAACAGAGCTGAAAACAGAAGAGAGACCAAGTAGCAACACAAAATCTCTCAATCTCTGCAAGTCTGGGACACATATATACCAGTAGTCACTATACATCTGCAGTGATTGTCAGATGCTATCTGTTTAAACAGTATTGTTAGGAAAAACAACATGAACTTTTGGTTATAATCACACTTCTGAGAGTCTGCTGACTCAAGTGGATGTTGAGGATCAAACTAGAAATAGCATAAAATTCTCCTTTTTTGCTGCTGCTAGCACCAAAAAAGTGGCACCAGGATGAGCTTATCTTCCAATGCCTCAAGGTTTTTCCACTAATCATTTCTTAAATTCTTCTGAAGTAATTTTCATGAAGATAATGAACTATTGCTATGTAATTTTATTTAAACTTACATTCCTACCTGGGTAAGCCTGCATTCAGGTTGCTGTCTAGAAGTCACATCTAGAGTCAAAACATGTCCAAAACCCAACTCCAGTTTACCTTTAAGTTACTTCAGAACAGAAAACATAAATGCAGTTGCATAATCTCTCAGTACTGGTGTATCAAAAAATACTGGGAGATAATTACCTTACTAAAGCCAAGGGGAAAGTAGTACATAAGGCATATTCCCTACAGTTCATCCATGTCTGGAAAAGGAAGAAAAATGAGCCACAGAGGCATTTCTAGAAGATAATCTTTTGTTGCTGTTGTGAAAGGAAAGACAAATGATGAGGACTAGAATGCCTCTGTGTGTATATTGCAGAAGTTTGTCTTATTGCAGAGCAAACTTCATTGATACTGGCCTCTTGTTTCATTCTAGAGCAACACTTCAGATCAGAATTTGGTTTTTAAAGCTAAAATAACAGGTAATTCCTGTGTGCCCAGAAATGAATTAAAGCTGAAGTCAAAGTTCTCTTCTCAGGAGCTCAAAAACCTGACAAGAGGCAATGCCAATAAAACAGTGTACTTGATCTGACACCACTAAACAATCTCCTTGCCAAGAAAGAACACAGCAATGAAAAACTTGTGAGACTCTGCCACATCATTCTCATGTATTTCCTGTAGGTATACAAACTCCTCCTGAGAATTCACATACCTAAAATACAATATTGAGATCAAGTATTGTTCAGAATAGGTTTTTATTTAAGAACAATATATTGTGTCAGGTACAATTTGTCAGAATGGAGTATAACTATCAAATTCATTAAAAACCATAGAATTTTATTGAAAAATCAACTTTAGTACACTGCTTAAAAAATTGAACATTTAACATCAAAATTGCATAGCAAGCATATTATAAGTCATGGTGTCTAATACTGCATTTGGATCATCCAGCCCAGTTTAAGTTTTTTCATTTCTTTAGCGCTTATAAATTTATAGAGCATGAATAGGCAGGAACTAAGCAGCAAGAGGTTGTTACTTATTATTAACACATTAACAATCAATGGTTATTAACAGATAAAAAGATAAAACAGGTAACACTGTTATTGCAAACACTATCAAATACTGAATGCAGCCACAGAAGGAAGCCAGATTCCCTGCAATACACGATGAAGCCGAAGGACTAAGTTCCCTGTCAGAAAGGAAGAACCAGATCCTGGAGATTTATATGACAGTGACATGTAAATAGGGACTAATTGGACATTACATATATATTACAAGAATCAATGATGTATTATAACAAATCAAAACAAAGTTTTATAAAACAATGTTTTCTCTGTGGCAGTTTATGATAGCTCCTTGTTGAGTTTTGACCAGGAAGTCGTCTGAGCGACTGCCAGGATTTTGGTCTTTCCCATCAATGTAGCTTAGATTCCTGGATACCCTATAGAAAAGAATTGTTTAGATGATAAATTACACAAAAATACGTGCTTGCTGAAACTCCAGTGAACAGACTGAAATTGAAACAAGTCACCAAAGCAAGGTCCCTGAATATTGTCACTGTGTACAGCAGCAGGACTCCTTGCCTGCACTCCTGCATTCTTTCAGCTGCCCAGAAGACTCTTCATCTCATGTCAGTCTAATGTCTAACTAATTAATGCTATTGCATTAACCTAAATTACAGAAGTATCTATTAAACTTTGAGATGTGAAAGCGTTCAAAGATTAAAAATAGCTGAAAATGAAAGACATAAGGGAGAATATAATTATTGCCTTGCATATTCCTTAAGAAATGGTATAATTTTTTAAACATCTATTTTAAACTTTTTTGGTTTACATCTAAGAAGCACAGCACGATAACTATAGGACAGCATTCATGAAGAGCTGAAGTTTATTAATTATGAACAATTTCCTTTTCTGAAACGTCTCTTTCAAAATCATCTTCTAGAAAAAGGCAATCCAGTTCCAGGCAGGAAGACAACATTCCTTCCCTTTCTATAACCATTCATTATAACATATGGCATTTTGCCACATGTCTTAAGCATCAGAATTCTGAGGGCTCTGAAGCCATTCAAGAAGAGCTTCACTCCTGGGAGCCACAGAAGGCTGAGAAGATCACACCATGGGCCTAAGGAATCCTGCCAGCTGACAGTCCCTTTTGGCTACAAATCAGCAAACATGCATTTGTGTGGGACAAAAATAGATTTTTTTTCCAGATGGCTTGGCAAGAAAGCACACCATGAAATCCTGAATTCCTACGCTTTCTTAAACTTCTTTACTTACACATATTAAGGAAAACCTTTTCCTTCAGAACAATTACTAATCTCATAGGGCTATTTTACAAGGAGTCAGAAAAAAGAAGGGAGGGGAAAAAAGAATTCCAGAACTGAGCGGAAATTTACTTACTCAGCTAAGTGGGCATACTCAACATCACAGAAACATATATCATTATGGTTATATAGCTGTAATACAAGCCCCTAGCTTTCATTCCATTGTTGCTTAAACTGAAGCTTTTTCTTTAAATCATGAAGCTTCTTTTCTGGTGAAGTTCTTCATACAAGTATTTAAAAATGCATTCACATTTCCTTTGAAATTTTAATTCAAGTACTGTTATAAAATTTGGATATCAGCTGTATGATTATCTCAAGCACAGTGAAAATTTTTCTTGACTGTGTTTGGGAAGGCAGCATAACTTGTGGTGTTTTTTTTTTTTTTTTTTTTTTGGCAAAAAAGCATGTAAAAAATGTTTTGGAAAATAAAATGATACTGTTTAGAGAACTTGATCCTGCTCCCTATTAGATTATTTTGTAATTAAAAATTCAAGAGATTTGAAACTGAAAATCCTTTAAAAGGCACATATTTTTTAAGAAAGCAGATGTCGTAGACCAAAATGCAGGGAGCTGGAAGGAGTGATCTCCATCCAGAGGTCTAAATACACTGCCAATAGCGATAACACCAGGAGGACAGGATCTCAGAGATCTTCCGAACAGCGCCAGCGCTTGTTTACCCAGAGTCAAAATGCAGGTGACTGCACTGCCAGACTGCACAGAAGCTAATGTTTGGAAGTCCTTTTAAATGGCAGTGTACTGCACTCTCCATAGCCTAGGCATCTGAGAGAACTTGTTAGCTCAAACACAGCCAGAATCAAAATAACTCTATAGTTATATCAAAAACAATAAATACCTGTCTAATGACTACAAAACAGGATTAAAGTATCTGTTGCATTAGGCTATCTTACTAACTTGTGTTCATTGGCCATCCATGCTGGAGGCTGGCTAGTTTTGTCCAGACACTTGCTTCCCAAGGTCCAAGTCTGCAGGTTTGATTAGCTTGGGCTCTCCCAAGCATCCATCTGACTTTTACCCTAGATGTACTCATGTAAGCAAGAACCTCCATACCTTGTAGCAGGAATTTCTTTTGAAACACCTTTCCTTAAGAGGCACTTACCTTTGGTGATGCTTCCATGCATTTTTGTGACAGCTGTTAATTCTTCATTGCCCTTAGGACAACCAGAGCAGGCATCTGCAATCCCAGATTCTGGTGATGAAAAACAGTAGCACCAAAAGGGTAAGAACAATGCTCAACAATGGACACTACAATATGTTGTTTAAATGTTAGTCTATTAAAACATTAGAAATACTTCACCAGCATACTTTAATGACCAAGTTTCCTTATGAAAATATTCTAGTGCAAAAGGTTCTGGCAAAACTTACTTTCATTAATCAGTAATGAAAATGGAACAAGGCAAGAACCATGTAAACAAGTGCATTTCTTTGGCCACTTTCTTCCTGTATATTCATTGACAATATTTCAAGTCACTTCCTTGAGCATTTTTCTTTATATGCTAGTTAGTTAACTGTTATCTTGATGTCAAGGTTCATAAAAATAAAATACGTAAAATAAACATCTGAAATTTTACTTTGCAGGAAAAAAAAAAAATATCAGATTATGGTATAGATATGCTTTAATCAGAACTAAATTTAAAAAAAAAAAACCTAAAAGATTGGCATCTGAAAACTTAAACTAATGTAGTTCTAAGTGGTTTTTTTTTTGTTTTTTTTTTAAATTTTGCTTTCCTGAATTGGCAAAAGTATTTTTACCCAGACATATAAATAAATTCACCTAAGCATATGAGGCTGTTTCTTCACTGTGAGGATGGTAAGACACTGGAACAGGTTGCCCAAGGAAGCTGTGGATGCCCCCTGTCTGGAAGTGTTCAAGGCCAGGTCGGATGGGACTCTGAGCAACCTGATCTAGTGGGAGGTGTTCCTGCCCATGGCAGGGGGGCTGGAACCAGATGATCTTTAACGTCCCTCCCAATCCAAACCATTCTATAGTTCTGTAATTTTAAGTGATAGTATCTGTGCAACAACTCAAAAGCTAAAGCATCCTAACAAAAGTATTTGGTTATGCAAGGACAGGATTAAGAAACTACATGGAAAGTAAAAGCAACAAACTTAAAATAAACAGAAAACCATCAGATAATAAGCAACACTTAAGGAGGAAAAGTCCTAGCTAATCTAAAGGAAAGCTTCTCAAATAGCTGTTAGAATGCAGTTCAGGAAATCCTTTTCTGTATAGATTCCTTAAAGGAACACTTACACATACCTAATTATTATTGAGGAAGAAGAGCTGTCACCTAGACAGCAGTCTGTTGAAATCTGTAGATTTACCCTTTGAAGAAGTGTTTGACTGCTGAAGTAGTAATTCATAAAGTCTCTGAAACTAACCTTGAGGGGAAGTACCCGGAATACCAAGAAAATTTTTAACTGAAGAAGCATGAAATCCAGAGTCCTGCAAAACAAGCATCAACAGATTATATTGGTGGAAAAACTCATGCATTATTTCAGTTTGCCTCAGAAGACTGGGAACCTGGAAATAAAGGCCTCACTGAATACTTAAGCCTAATGATTCCAATGCAACCCAGAAAAACTTCATGAGATTCCCTCACCTTGTCTATCTATAAAATGAAAAAAATATCATCATTTTGAAGTAACAACATCTTAATTAACAGGGCCACTGATTGAGATTGTTTAAACAAGTGACACAGTCTATTAAAACATAAAATCTTTTACTGAGCACTGTTTTCAAGGTTATTAAATAGTGAGCTTCCTCACATGATACAAGAGACCTGATAAAATTTAGTTTAGCAAATAAAAATCCCACAAACCCGTAAGACAACCCTACTGACCAAATAGCACCAGAAGGGTGCTGTCACTAGTTTAAACAGGTTCCATCTCTAATCCATTTTTAAGCCCTTCTTCAAATATCAGCAAAGAGCTCACAGTCTTTTCCCCCCAACCCAATATCCTCATGTACCTGAATCCGACAGTTTACTCTGCCAAAAAAGCTGGCGTTATTGTCATTGCACATCCTCAAAAAATCCATGCTCATTGTCTGATGATTAATGTTTTTTCTGTGAGAAATCTGTTGACATTTCATTGAAGGAAAGTAACCTTGTGGTGTATTTCTCCGTCGCTTTACTGGTGAACAAAGATGATCGTTTTGGAAGCTTCCTAGTCTCTTAGCTCTGGGAAATAGAGTTCGAACAGGTGAGTTAACCAGAGCCTTCACAGTTTCAGACATCTCTATTCCTTCGTATTTCCTTATATTTGAAGGTCTCTGCAACCCAGGAAGTTTTGGAACAGCCTCATTGGACAATTGCTCATAAATGCTGTCAAATGCTCTGTCGTACAGTGCACTGGACCTCGCAGAAGCACTTAAATTATTCTTCACTAATCTATCTTTCTCCTCAAGGTTCTGTGAATTTGAAAGAACTCTTGTCAATGTCAAAGGCTTTTGGATTTCTTTGGAAGACAGTTTGTAGTAGAGTTCTTCGAATGCATCTTTGTATTTCTGGGGCATCTTTGAAGGACTCTGCTTCACAGACAATGAGGAAAATGAGTCTTTGCACTGGAAAGAAATCTGTCCTCCAGAAGTTATTTTTTCAGGACTTATGAGCAAAGTATTTGATGTTCTTGCAAGAGAAGTGTTTGTGAGAGGTGTAATCGTATTACTATTGCCATAGGAACTGCAAGTAGATGAACACAATACTGAGGTACCACCACAAGGAAAGTAAGCTTTTTGAGTTTTGCTCTCTTTCACCAGATGAAATGCCGTTGACCATGAACTGGCATTAGATGCTATAAAATGGTATTCCGAGGAACATCCGTAAGCCGATTTTTCACTTTCTTTGCATTTTGAATTCTTCAGCGAGACAGTAGTCTCTAACTCATCTTCAACTAGAAATGTCTCTCCCATTCTAGGCATAACATTAGGAAACACTGTCTGTTTGGAGACATTTGGGCCTTTTGCAGATAACAAATGATGTTCTGAACTAGAGTCAGAGCAGTCCATTTTGATTTCATTGGTATCAGTGTAAAAATAAGGTACCAGATCAGATAAATCATTGATGGAGCAGCTGTCATCACATAGTTCTCTGTTCTCCTGTCCAGCAATTAGATTCCAGACGTCTTCCCTTCTACTGCTGCATATTCTGGGTAGTGCTTGCTTCATTTTAAGGGGTCTGAACCCCCTTATTTTGTCTACAGTGATATTGAGCTTGGGTCTTCTAGAATGCCATCTTTTGTGCCTTAAGTGTCCAAACATGTATTTTAATGACCGCTTTGTCATTACCCTTTTAAGTATCTGCACCATCGCTGGATACAAGTCTGCAAGAGTTACATTGCTCCAGGAGCATTCCTCTGCAAGTGTGACATTGCTGCAGGAGCATTCCTCACTTTCAGACTGGTATTCTTCCAGTAGAGAATCACAGCAGGTTTTATTCAGTTCTGGATAAAGTCGATGCCTAGGTATGGTTATTCTACCTGGTGAAATGGGAACACCCCAAAATTGTAGCTGTAGAGGTCTTGAAGAATATTCATTTGCCAATTCCACTTCCTTGCTGCAAACACTGGCTTGGTTGCCTATTCAAAAAAAAAAAACTCAAATGAAATAAAACCCCCCAAACTTAGTAGGGCACTTTTAGTAATGCATTATATGACTTAAAAAACACTGCATGCAGAACAATCTTACTGTAATAGACTACTCTATTAAGCTTTTTTACCAAGCTAACATAGAATCCATTTGAGAAAAAAAAAAAAAAGGTTTTTCCTAACTATATTGAACTAACAGATTATAGAAGACAGAAATTAAATGTGTTGGAAAAGCCCTTAATATAACTTAATATATAGATATAAAATATTTTCATTGCAGAGTCAGACTGCATTGCTTTTTGTGCTCTCTGACCAAGAGGAACAGTCTTATCCTATAAGTTTTGTTACTCTGTTTCCTTATTACTTGAAAGGTTTGTACTTGGCTAGTACCGGAGCAGCTTTACTTGTCATAAAGCATGATGCAGACAAGGCTTTTTAGTTACTAGGCTTGAAATATTTACACCAGAATTCTGTCTTATGTTTGCATCAAGTCCACAGAGAGATTCTAAAGAAAGTTTACTAGTGAAGCATCACTCTGAGTACCAGTTATCAGCAGACCCAAAGCTATTTATTACATTCCTTGAATTTAAAATAAGCACAACCAAAAAATCATGTTTTCATTTAATTGAGCTGAATGCTGCAAAATTTTGTAACTCTGCACATTTTTCCTGAGGCTGCTTAAGAAAAGCTGTTTTCAGTGTATACAAGTTATTTATTTTCTATTTTTTAAACACATTTTGCAATAAGCAAAATCACCTTTAACGTATCTTCAAGAATCCAGCCTGCTAAACTTTCCAATTAATAACACCGTGGTGTTTTCAATACATTAAATATTTCTAATAAATTTTAATAAAAGCGCATTTTATATTTAACGTATTTGACCAACACCCCAAAGATTTAACTGTACCTATCAGTTCTTGCACTGGCGAAGCTAAATGAAGACCTTCTGATGAACCATGAGGTTCTTTCTGAAAAATAAAGTAAAAAAGACACAATCTGATATCCTGAAATTTTGCATATTAAAGGTAACATCAAAACTTATTTGTGATGCCTCTTACTCTCTGCTTACTATACCAGGTCCTGTACAGTTACAGTCTTAAGGGGCTAAGTACATGTTAGACAAGGTAAGACAAAGTCTAGTCTAAGACATTAGTAAGAATTTTAAGAGCTACCAGTGTAATGCTGGAAAGCTATTTATCAGCTTCACAGCTTCTACATTACCTATCTTAATTGCTTGCCTAAATATGAAAATTTATGCAATATATACACACACATCCCTGGATAGTCTTTACATCTCTGGCAATTCCAGTAGGAAACAGAAACTGTACCATATAACATAACCCTTTACCCTAAAAACAAAATAAGCTAAAACTTTTTTCTTCTACAAACCTCAAATTTACACTTAACAGAAATCTTACTGAGGTGAAGATCTACTCACACATCAGGATTCAAATAATGAAGTAAAAAAAAAAAAAAATTGGATCTAACGTGTTCCATTTCTTAAAAATCTTTGCTGTCAGAGACCTGAGATACTGCGACGCTTACGCAGATGGGAAGCAGGAAAGGAACAGTGATGGAACAGCAGAGAAGTTCTATTAGAATTCACTGTGCAGCAGTTATTTCATTCTAGTTAGCTAATAATTTAGAACAGAATGGGAGAAATGTTACCATAATCCACTTGGGAATTTGTCTAGCGTAGTCTTGTACAATGACATCCACTCTTACTTTCTTTTGAATTTTCCCATCAGCTACACAAAGACTCTTAGAGAGAAAAAAAAAAAAAAAAAAAAAAAAAAAAAAGAGTTAAACACATAAAAGTTATTGATAGTGACAAACCCAACCATATTACTAAGCTTCGTTGTGAACTAGTATTATCCAGATGAAGATATCTAAATGTTATAAACTTATTTTTAATGTACATATTTTATGTAAAAAAAAAAAAAAATCCCAAGAAGGAGCTGTATGTGAAGACAGAGATAACAGCTAGGTTATTGATACAGACAAAAGCACACACTGACTCAGAAGATCCATTGATTAAAAAAGAAAGAAAAAAGTCCTGGTTAACTTACAAAGCACTAGTAGTTAAGTCTGCAAATCTTTACATGTTATTATTAACATCCCCATAATTCACATACAAATTGTCTACTCCATAACACACCTCTATGTAAAATGTAAAGCATTTTGTGATAAGTTGCAAACATCTTCCAGTAATGAAACTCTTGCTTTCAGAAGCAATTTGTATTACCTGTTTTCAGAGACACAATGCCTAGCACCAGTAAATTTTTGGTATTGTATTTGAGCAAGTAGAACACAGGATTAGAATGGCTGTGGACACAGTGTGTGTGGTACTTTAATCACTGTAACTACTCTGGGTAGTCCTGATATCCATAGCCTAATTAGGGAAACAACGGCAGAAGATCCCAGTCTGCTTTTGTTATGGTAAACTTATTTTTTTTTTTTTTTTTTTAATTTTTAAAATCATGTTAACCATTACATTCTCAAGTGAACAATCTATTTTTAATATGTATTTTCACTTTGTAATTGTTCTGTTATTCTCTTTCCATACCTGTAATAGCCTTTCTCAGGATTTGCCTGTCCTATGCAATACATTGTACGACTTTCACTGGTACACTAACAATATCAAGATATAATATTACTTCATATTGCCCTCATGACATTATTGAGCCTCTCAGTTACAATGCCTACTAAAAATACACATTAAGAGGCAGGATATTCTGCTGACTGTATCAATTCATTTGGCACATGTAAGCTACTCAAACAGTTCAATCATTTCTATTGAGCACACAATTATTCCATTGTATTAGACACCAGAAATTTTTACCTGTGCGTCCATGTCTTCACATTTTCTCCTTACTGGAACTATATCAGCATCACTTTCCTCATCTATAATTTGAAGAGATTAAATAAAATCCAGTTGAACTCAAAACCAAACCAGACATTTTTTTGAACACACACTGTAGCTTTTGGACTAAGCTGTTCTTCCAGAGTCTGTTTTTTTTCCCCAGTAAAACTCAGCTGTATTACATTTCCGTTTCAAGCCCAATTGAAAAGCATGATTTATAGGTTCATAAATGACTTGAGGGGAACAAAGAGTGAAGACAACATGTTTGTAACCAGTTTTTCAAGATTTATACTTATTTCAGAGAAAAAAAAAAAATATTTTCAAAGCATTGGTCTGCAAGACTCAGTGTTCATTAACTTATTATTCCCACTTATTTCCCATTACACTCCTAAACTTCCCAATAAAGATAGTAAGGACCTTTTACTACACTTCCTTTTCTTAGTTTCTTATTGTCAAGGCTGTCTTGGGACTGCCAAGGTGAAAAATAAGAGATTTGAGAATATTAAATAGCAAGTCCAAATCTTCCAGGTATTCCAAATCTTTAGGTATTCCATGGGTATTTTTGTGAATGAAACACAATACGACTTTTTTTTCCCCCAGATGCATTCAGACCTTTCAATTCATTATTAACTAAAGCCTCAGTCTTTCATGGTCATGAAAGATGTGGCTGCATTGTAAACCCTGGATTACTGAATTTCTCTGGCTGTTGTATCCTTGTCCCATAGTCACGTTTGCTACAAGGAAGGAGAGTGAATAACCCTGAAAACAAGTGAAAAAATTTTAGTTATGTTATCTACCACTTCACTGCCTCTTTATACTACTCTTAAGTTACTAAAACTGGAATGAAATTCTTTTCCAGCTAATCCTATCTTTCCTTCATGTTCCCTGTCAGTGCAATCATCACCTAAAGTGCTGTGGACAGCTGCTTCCATAGAGCTAGTAAAAAGATACATATGAAAGAAACGCTGTCTTGGTGGGCGACAACACAATCTCACACCTTCTAGTTGAAGTGTTGAGCAATCAAAGGGTTGGCTTTGACAGTCTACCTGTTTCCAGTAGAATTATTTTATTAGAACTGAAACCTATACCTGTCAGATTATCAAAGTTTCTTCCCACATGACTAATGGAAGACAACGTTGTGATTGCATTATCCACAGGAAATCGGTTACCAAGCACCAATAGTGAACGAAGCAGTACAAATGTTAATGTTTAGACCGGAATAGATTCAGCTTCCAATTTCTGTTGTGGCAGCTGATCCCTTCTGCTATTCAGCCTTCTTCCTCCAGTACAATTGGGCACAAAACTGGCAGACTGCTCACTAAATGGTCACTGAGATGACCAGACTAGACTGCTACAAAAATGAGAGGTTCTTAAGATAAAAGTAGCAGTTCCAGTGTCCAGGAGTGGTCGACCATCATGCCAATTACAAACTATACCTTCTAGGTGTGAAACCTCACAGAAGTGCAATTTATCTTTAATGTATAGTCAATCGTATTTCAAATCATTGGACAATTATTAGCAGAGGACTGAGGCAACACAGAAAAACATGAAGCATCTTCTCCAGGGAACCTTAAAATGTTTACAAAGGCCAAAAAAGGGAAATTTGGGAATACCTTTGTTCTTAAGTGCAGAAGATAGGAAAAATGAAAACTGACACCTTTCTCTCTGGAAAATTTGACCTACAGTACACGAAGTTATTTCACTAGAGCTGAACTTAATACACTATCATTACCTAAAAGATTTATCTTATTTAAAAGATGAACATGTCAATAACGGGGCTATTGTAAATTTACGTTGACTTTGATACAATCCTCTAAACTTAAATACTTGGATAAATATACAATTCAGTTTGAACTTTCCCCTTTGTCTACAAATAAATTCATTTTTCTCTGATACTACCCTTATATCTAAGAAATGTTCAGTTATCACTACACTTTGCCATGCTACTTCCTATAAAACCACAGAAGGTAGACCTAATAATTTTACCTGTTAAGGGCAGACCAACACTTGCAGTACAAGTCACAGCCATTTCACTTGATTTTTACTTGCTATTGACAGGGTTTGCATACTTTTAGAATAAAAACACTGTACAGTGTTTGGAAGAAACACTGCCTTTACTGAGAAGGGTGAAGCATTTAGAATACTAAAGACAGAAAAAACCTACTGAAGCTGAGGTTTTAAGTAAAGCAGCTGAAGATACAGGTTTGTGTTGTTTTGTTTTTGTTTTTTTTTTGGGTTCTTAGTATGTCCTATTGCTCACCTTTTACATATTTAAACACGCAAACAACAACAACCCAAAAAAAAAAAAAATTACCCAAATCACCTTAGTGAATTCAATTTTTTTCTTTTAGTGTGCAGAATCCAATCCCACATCTCCAAGAAGCTCGTTTCTAAATCTTAGTCTTTGGAGCTAGCTAGGACTCACCAAGGCTGCAACAAATCCTCTCCCATCTCTTCCCAGAACGTTTACAAGAGGAGGAGGAGGACTGGATAATCATTTCTGTATGCTGCTATGAGGATACCAGAGTCTGAACGGCATCGCTCATTTATCCCAGGGGTGCAAAAGACAAAGGTCGCTTACAGAAGCTAAGCTACATTTACTCCTGAAATTTGTTTCCTATATTTCTTTGTGCAGGTTGAAAAAAAGTCACATTTCAAAAATCTGCAGAAATTATTTTATCATTAAAACAGATAACTGAAGTTATCCTCACAAATGACAGGAGGACAAATTTCAGATCGCTATTTTCTGTTCTCTCAACAGAAAAGTAATTATCTGCCTTGGAGACAGCTACGCATATGAAGCACCTAATTTATACCAGAGTATTTAAACACCACCTAACCATTTTTTTTTTCGGCAGCTGCTCTTTAATCATTAAATGCCGGTTACTTCCTAGCCATAGTTCAGTTTATGTAAAATAGCAGGTTTTCATATGTAAAAGAATCAAAAGATCTTTAGTAATACAAGTTTTAAATATTTATAAATCAGTCATTCAAAGATTGTTACCACTAATTAACACAAGCAGATAATTATTTGGGAACACAAGGTCAAGACCAACCAAAACTTTGCAGACAAACCACCAGACTGATGACAAAGCTGTTGCAAACACTACTGAAGACTTACCATTGAGCTGAACACAGCATCTGTGTTTACCAGACCAACAGAAATTAACGTATATATCATATTTTTTAATAAAGCTTCTATTGCCATTTACGCCAAAGTTTTGAGTTCACTATTCCTTTCTCTACTACGAGAAGGCAAATGAACATAGTCCACACTGACTTCCCAATGTATCCGGCATTCAGGACTGAGATTTTAAAGAGAAATGCAGATCTCGATTTCTTAGTGCTGCCAGAACCTGCGTCTTGTTATCACTATTCCATACTTTCTGAAAGGGTATAGGACATATTTTTTACTGTATTAGAAAACTATGAAAAAGTGATTCTCTTTCAAAAAGTTAAAGAGGAGTGAAAAAGTAAATTATAAACCTCACCTACGTCAGGAGTATCCACAGAAGAGTTCTCAGGCGACTCCTTAAAAGACATGAAAAGAATTATAAGATGTGGTGGTATAAGCTATACTAACAATTGCGTACAAATTTCTGTTCTCACTACTTGCTCAATTTTTTTTGGGGTGGCAGTGGTGAAACAAAACCAGTCGTATTCCACAAACTATGTCCAAATGACATCATCTTTATTAACAAATCTGTACATAAGTTTGTCTTGATGCATCTCTCATATATCATTCACTATAGAAAACTATTTTCTTCACAATCCTTCTATATTCAGAAAATAATGCAAAAGAAACTGTTATACAAAAGCAAAACACAGTTGACAGATGAATACTAACCACTAAATCTTTATCAGTGTGTGCTGAGGATCCTCTCTCTCTTCCAATGTATAAAGAAAGTCTTAACTGCCCACTTTTAACAATTCTTAATTGCCTACTTCAACGAATCCATATATAAAGTTTCATACAGGTTTTTTTGCTTTATTTTGTGGAAGTCTTGATAGCTGCATTAAAAGTTTATTTGTATGGATAAGGAGCCTTTTCTAAATGCTTATTAACTACATGTGGCATCCTGTTCTTCAGAACTTTTTTAAAAAGTCTATCATTTCTGTCCAGTTCAATAAAAATTAGTTTATTGTGGGTTAAAATGACATCAATAAAATGTGAAAATTCTAACTCCCACCTATGTAGAACAAATAATTAGGAGTGACCAGTGACATGCATATTGTCTAAGTAGAAAGATACTGGATGGTTTAAAGCCTGTACTCAACTGCTCTCTCTTCCTCTAAATAAACATAAAAGAGCAGAATTCATGGCGGTATCACTGCTGTTATTTGATACCCCAAACATGGCAATAGGAGGGAGGATATATTATTATATGAACATACATATACCCTACCACATAAACAACATGAATATGGATACAGTAAAAATAATTCAAACATTTGTGCAAATCCACCATGACAAAATTTATTAGATCACCACTTATAGCAGTCCAGAACTTTGACTCATCACCATCTCAAAGCACAGAAAACTATCAGGGGAGGAAACAATCAGGGAAAGCGTACTACATGATCAGAAATAACCAGAGCAGGAAGATTTTGACCTTACATGAACATATACTTGGTAAGTAATGATACATCTTTTTTTAAATAATGCAACTGCATGTGGGGCATGAGAGGAAATATAAAGCAATCCTTTAAAAAAAATACCTAAAGTTTGATAAACTGCAGTGAAAGAACTGCAGCAAAACACTTTAAGCTCTTGAGATTTTTTCAGAAATATTTATTTAAGGAGAATAAAGTGAGTGGATTCAGCAGTTAGATCTAGCTTTATAGGAACAGTACAGAATCACCGGCTCATGAGTAATTTCTTGGCTTTTGACTACAATAATACAATTTCTTGGCTTTTGACTACAATAAATAGATTTTCCCAAAGAGGCTTTATAACAGTAGATGCAATGTGGTGACCATACCTGATGTACTGTCGAATCTGCATTTTCAAAATCCCTGATCCTTTGTTCCGATGTTTCTTAGCATGCACAAGAGGAGAAAAATGTCAGTTTGATAGGTCACAGGTCACCAATTACCTGAATCTTCATGAGTATATGCACTTAATTTGAAAAATATTTAACAAACATTTAACAAATGGAGTACACAGGACTAAAAGAATAGACAACATTCTTCCCAAATACAGCAGATCAATTCTGATCAGAAATGTACATCTACCATATTACATTTTCCTCTTAACCCATGAAGTGTCACAGCAAAAAAAAAAAAAACCCACCCATTTATCAGGTGGTATCAGTACCTATCTTCAAATAAATGCTACCTCCATGTAAGCCAATTTCAAAATTAGCCTCCAAGACAGATATTCTTACTATTAAAAGTATTCCATCTGAAACTGTTTTGACATCCCTGAAAGAGCGATGTCAAACATTTCTAATAATTTCTTTGTTAAGACTTATAAAGGTATCTATAACTACAACCTCTCAAGTCTCTATACTGTGCATAAGATTATAATGTGCACGTAAGAATTATTTCCTAAATCTATTGTTAATACTGCGTAAGTTACAGAAATTTAATCTTCTCCAAATCACAAGATCTGTATCTCCAAACATATGACTTTGCCAGTACTAAAGCTGTAGTGGGATGATTGGATGCATGTGGTACAAAATTGTTTAATGACAGTCTTGAGTAAGCATATCTGCTAAAGCACGCATTATTTTATCATTTCAATCTTACTCTGTTTAATACAGAACTCATTGCCTTGCCTTTTTTTGCATTTCTGTTTTCAGAGAAATTGATGTCAAATATCACAAGCTCTTTTTGTTAAATGGTGAGAAAACTTATACCTAACTCAGGCACAGAGGTATTATTCTCTCCTATAAACACTTCATATTATTTAATACTGCCAAGTATATATTTCTCTCTAATATTTAACCTACAGGCTCTTTTTGTTCTGTAGTACACATCATAATTTTCCTCAATCATTTATCCCAGTAAAAATATGTATTTTATTGCAACATACAGCCCATTCTCAGAACAATGAGAAAAACCTTTAAATGTCATACACCTTTCCAAATGGTATCAGAACACCACTTTGGTGTGCACTCTTGATTTGACCTCCAACACAATACCTGTTCTCTAATGAAAAAACTATACACTACCTTTTCCTGCAGACAGCCTGATTCATTCAGTATACAGAATAATCTGCTAATTTTTGATAACTCCTCATGCAACTCCATGAAGTGCTTTTAACAGATATCTTAAAATAAATCTGCTTATCTAGTTACTTTCAAAAAGCTAGCAACTTCCAAATTTCTTCACTTGTACACCCACATAAGTGTTGGAATTTTTAGAATCAATGAGTATCTGACAAAACCAACAAATACAAGAAAAAAGCTGTCTAATTGATAAGGGGAGATTAATTAACTTGTGATGATAGTAGCATCAATTATAATGTATTTACTCATCTTAAGCTACATTAAGGAATTCTTATGAACGTAAGTGCCGTTTTTTTTTAGTAGTTCCTCCCACAAAAAACCCAGTGAGTATCCTAGAGTTTGGCATAAAATCATTTATGAAGTCAAGGCTCATAATTAATAAGATAATTAAAAAAAAATTAAAAAAAGTTACCTGCTTTCCTTTTACTTTTGTTACTATGCTGCAATTAGAAATAGGAAAAAAAGTGTCATAAGACTCTTAAAATAGTCAAGTTGTTTCAACGTATGATTTTATTTACTTTGGTATGTCTCACAGCTAGACAGTACCTAAATAATCATTCAGTTTCATTCTGGTCAGGCCATGGGAAACCTGAAAATCCACAAGTAGATGGTACAACTTACCTGATCATTCACTTCTTGCCATACTACTGCTGTTAAAAATCACTGCAAGAACATAAGCTATAGCTACACTTAAAAGTCTAAGACAGAGAATTCCTCTTACAGGCCTTTAATGGATTTAGTCTGTAGAGTTGTGCAGCAATGCTTAGTAGGTGATGCACAAGGTATTAGCAGAATTGGAAGAGAAACAGGAAATACAGTCCCTTTTCTGTCTCCATTAAATCCCCTCTTGTCCAAAGCTGAATTTTACTCGTCCTCATATTCTGTGGGGTGCAGAACAGCTTCTGTGATAGCTGCCAGGCACACTACACAACTTAGCTTTTTAGATGGATATTAGGAATGTAGCAGCATGGTGACTTTGGACAGTTATGTAGGCATCAATGAAATTTTTATTAAATTAGCTGTTGAGTTGTTATGGGGAAGTTTAGGAAATAGAAGCAACTGCTTGTATAATGCAAATCCTCAGAATAAAAAAAAAAAAATATATATACAGATCATATACCCACAACAATAATGGCTTTAGCCTAATACAGACAGTGAGTGTGGAGACTGCAAGGGTACTTTAATTTCTCTAGCATTATTTCACATTAAGTAAGAAAGTCTAAAGATAAACCAGTAAGCCCCTCAGAACTGAAAAGCTGATTACCAGAACCAAGCTAAATTGATTCAATTATTGTTCACATCAATAAGAATATTCTGATGAAATCTAAAATTATGTGATCCCACCAGATAGCACTTAAAAAACCCATAAAATATATTTTTTTTCATGTTTACCAGTAGTGCTAACCAGTAGTCATCTGTTTTAGTCTCTCTTATCTGACAGTCTATCCTAAGTCACTATTTTTCACATGGCACAGCAAGATTTTAAATATATTCTAAAGAAATATTGCTACATTTTGATAGTGTAGTAGGACTATATTATTAGATACCCAAAGTGCTTTCTTCTTCCATTTTCTAAGCTTCTTGGTTGACACTTTCTCCCATTGTTTTGGTCCTACAAATAGCAAGAGATATCAACATAAACATAGCTTTTCTTGTAACACTACCTATACTAAGTATGATACTAACAAACATTTAGGAAGAACATATATAGTAACAAAACACTATCAAATCAAAACAGCCTCCTATGCAATTGCTGAGAAAAACTTACAGGAAAACAAGAGAATATTCTAAGTTCAAGTTGAGAAGTCAGGGGAAAAAAAAAACAACAAAACCCCATATGCCAAGCCTAACAACACTGAGCTGAAATGCAAAGAGCTTTACAGCCCCAGATACTAGGAAGACAGGAAAAAAAAAAAGTTATTTTACTTTTAAAAATTTTATTGAAAGCATGCAGACTACATGATGTGTGAAGTTAGTTAAGGCCATAATTAAGGCTTTATAGAGGTCGGCTTTGTACTCATTCTCTATGAAATAGAGGTTACTAAACCAAAGGTGTAACCAAGCCTTTACAAATACAAGATTTTGTATTACACAGCTGTATGCAGGTTTCCTCTCTCTCCCCTCCTTGATGGACAATGTATACTATAAAATGGAAGCTTCCCAGTCTGCAAAAGCCTTTAACATGTAAATCATATTTGGTGCAACAATGACATTGGGCTTGACACTGTGGTGGTACTTCACACGTATAAGTAAGTTCTACTTTACACTGATTGATATGGTAATTTACATATCATAATCCTCACTTCAGTGATAATAAAAACTGGCAGAATATTTAATTTCCCAGTCAACAAGACACTAAGTCACAAGTCCCACTAAAACCTTGAGAAACGTATTTTAGAACATTTTTTTTTTCCAGACTAAGCTCTCCAGAAGCATAACCAACTTTATAATGGATCAACAGTTATAATGAAACTCTGGAAAAATATGACATGGCACAAAGTGGTATAGATTTACACTAACTACATTAATACTCAATGAAAAGTTAGAGACTGGATTCAGACCACTCTGATATTTGACATAACAGAAATTTATCAGAGCAGCCTTCAACAGAGTAAGCAGAGATGAAGTGACACAAACCATTCACGTGTACCAACTTCCTGCTAATACCTCCATTCTTTTGTTTCTGCTAGCTGTTCTCCAGTTTGATTTTTCTTACATGTCACACAAATATTAACCACTGCTATCCTGAACTTTGCCAATAACTCTTTTCTGTCGTCCAAATTGGAGCACACAATGGACTGAACTATATATCACATTATCTATCACACATATAAAAGTTTACACGTGAAATGTCATACCTAAATGGACAAAATTCAATACAATGCAATACCTGTTGCAATGAAATGTTATATAATTGCCAAAAATTGCATGCTTTACTAAAGTCTAAATATACGACAGGCAAGTAAAGTGAAGTGAGTGAAACTTTACAAGTTCTTACCATCAGGTGTATCATAAGTGAGAGTTTCCATGGAAATAAGTAAATCATCTTCAAAAGGTTGATTATACTAAATAAAATGGATCATTAAAGATTAGAATAAATAAAGCAATGTTTTTAACAAGCGTTTTAAATATTTTTTTATACAACTTTGTTTTGACAAAAACATAAAATTATCCGTACATTTTTTATTTGCGAAAGTTACAAGTCAGCAATTTAGAAACCTTAATTCCTAGAGGAAACACGCACATTTATGCACGTAAATAAGTCATTCAACTTCATAGCATAAGCCAGGTGGTGAAGTTATTATATTTAAAACTTCACCTGTAGTGACTGGAATTACCCACTTAGCACAGACCTACAGCTCACGACACATAAAGATATCCAAGCTAATGCCTGGATAACGTTCTAGAACCAGACTTTGTTTTATGCCAGAGCCTCTAGATATTAGCACAAAATATCTTCCTGAACAGGAAAAGCGTCATCCCTAAAATAGTATATTCACCTCTGGACGGAGGTGTATAGTCCTCACATCTTTAATACGAACAAGACTCGTGAAGAGCTTCCCACTTCTTTCTGTAGTTTCATTGACAACACTTCATTTAACGCTACCTAATTTGGGTTAAGGGAACTATAAAAACAACTAAACTATAATTTATTCACTGATTCTGTACTGGCAATCCCAGACCTGAGTTTTATGGACATATTCAGGGAGCTTTACCAGCTTACTCGTGCCAAGGCAGAGAGCACGACTCAGCCCCCGAACTGCAGAGCTGCCCGAGGCCCTGGGTGACGGCTGCTTTTGGCGGCCAGGGAAAGCAGGACCTTGCGACACACCACAAGTAAGTAACTGACGAAGAGAACTCAGTGTCAGTTACTGCAAAGTTGTGCCCAGAAAGCAAGCTGAGCCTGTCGGTACTAACACACCAGGGCTCAGAGGTGTTCGGGGAGAGGAGGGGAGCGCTGCCTAAGGCGAGGCGGGTGGCGCGCC